TAAATAATAACTTTTTATACATTTATAATTCATTTATTTTTGTTTCCTAAAATATTTTGATTAAAAGAATATATGTAAAAGTGGGCATAGACATATCTGAAAACCTTGTACATAATATCATGAATGAACACCCGGTATATAAAGTAATATGTATATTAATGACATAATAAATTAATATTCATGAAAATCGCTTCCCAAAGCTGTTAAAATCAAACGGTGAACGACTTTCAAGTCTCTATCATTATAGGAGATCTATAAACGATAGAAATTAATGGTAATCTTAAACGGGCAGTTAAATAACGACAGTTAACAAGGTGGATATTTGCATAATCTTGAACAATCGCCAATTGTTCGTGTATCACCGATGATATCTTATTACGGAATACACACCACACGACAAAACGCTGTATTACTTTCTCAAATTGATATATTGTTTACTTTAATAAGTTTTACTTTAGTTCATTTATTTTGTTTTAATGTATTTATAACTTTGTAGAGCTATAAAACTGTATTAGACTTTTTGAAGAGGCCTTAAAGTTGTACTGTCGTCTAGAATTTCATTATATTTATGAAAAAGTTCCGAGTACCCACCAAATTTCTTACAGTGTGTAAAAGCCCCGATAACAAAAACAAATCAAGAGTGTCATTATCATGGATCACTGAGCGATGTGTCTTGGAATATATCCATGGCAGCGCTCTCTATTATAGTGGACAGAAAACTGCAAGAGAGAGGTTTGGGCATTAGATACAGATATGACAACATAAAAGGACTCAGGGCAAAAACACGTACAAAATTCATCACAGAACTTCAATATGCTGATGACTGTGTTCTAGTTGCAAATACGTTACAGCAATTGCAAGATGTTGAACACATATACATGGGCATACGAGGCTTTGGGGACTTAAGCTTAACATCGATAAAACTAAAATCATGTACACTGCCACGGAAGATCACAACAATGCTATAAAAATCGGAGAACTACTGGAATATGTAGCGGAATTCAATTACCTCGGCAGTTTGATTTCGGAAAAAGCCAATATCGACTCTGAAATTCAGCACAGGATTAGCAGCGCCTCAAGAGCATTTTGGAAATTAAAGGATAGGGTTTTCTACAATCATGACTTGAGCACAAAAACGAAACTTGCAGTGTCTTTCTTCTTCTTCTTTCTCAGCCTGGTTCCATCCAGTGTTGGATATAGGCCTCTTCTAGTTTTTTCCATGCTTCGCGATCTCTAGCCAATCTTATCCATAGTCTTCCCGCCACTGCCCTGACGTCATCGATCCATCTCTTTTTTGGTCGGCCCACACTTCTTGTTGTTCCCCTAGGTCTTGATATGATTGCTTTTTGGAGCCATCGGTCTGGATCCTGTCTTGCCACATGTCCTATCCATTGCCACTTCAGACTTGCCACTCTTGTAACGACATCTATTAATTTTGTTTTTTGACGTATGTGGGTATTCCGTATTTTTCCCCTAATGGTGACTCCGAACATGATTCTTTCCATGGCTCTTTGTGCTACTCGTAGTTGTTCTGCTGTTTTTCGGGTAATTGCCATAGTCTCTAAGCCATACGTAAGCACAGGTAGAATGCAGCTGTCGTAAGCCTTTTTCTTTAGGTTCATGGGCACCTTTTTATCCTTGAAAATATTGCTCATATTTCCAAATGCTACCCATGCCAAATGGATCCTGCGTTTGATCTCCGTATTTTGGTTTTCCTTGCCCAGCTTGATTTTATGACCTAAATATATATAATGGTCTACGTTTTCAATAATAACGTTGTCAACGGTAATGTTATGGATATTGTTGCTCATTATCTTGGTCTTCTTCAAGTTCATTTTAAGGCCAATTTTCTGGGATTGGTCATTTAGCTCATTTAGCATGGTGTTTAGTTCTTGAATGTCGGTGCTCAGCAAGACAATATCGTCTGCGAACCTCAGATGGCTAAGGTGTACCCCATCGATGTTTAGACCTCTATTTTCCCATTCTAATTTCTTGAAGACATTTTCCAGTGCCAGTGTAAATAACTTGGGAGAGATGGTATCTCCTTGTCTCACGCCCTTGCCGAGTAGTATTTTTTCTGTTTTGAGGTCATCATCTAATTTAACTTGGAAGGTTGCACTATCATAGATATTTTTAATAATGGAATAATATCTGGAATCAATTCTCGCGTCCTCCATTGCAGCTAGAAATGACCAGGTTTCGATGCTGTCAAAGGCTTTTTGGTAGTCTACAAAGGCCAAATGTAGAGGTATATTGTATTCTGTTGTTTTTTCAATGACTGTTTTAATTGTTTGTAGATGATCGATGGTACTAAAACCTTTTCGAAAGCCTGCCTGTTCTATTGGCTGATAGGAATCTAGTTTCGTAGACAGTCGGTTGTTGATAATCCTAGTGAAGAGCTTGTATAGATGCGAGAGAAGGCTTATTGGTCTATAATTCTCTATATTTGTAAAATCTCCTTTTTTGTATAATAGCACAACTTCTGCGTTTTTCCATGCGTCCGGGATTCTACCCTCCATCAGACATTTATTTAACAATACTTCCACGGCATCCACTAATGGTTTTCCGCCCATCTTCAGCATTTCAGGTGTAATACGATCTTCTACTGGGCTTTTGCCATTTTTTATTTGTTGAAGTGCGTATTTAATTTCTGTGGTTGAATCTTCTGATCCTACGTTTGTGATGTGTTTTTGTACTCTATCTTTGTTTGGTATAACAGACTGATAAAGTTGTTCGTAGAATTTGTGTATTTCATTTCTAATTTCATGTTTGTCTGTTGTTATAATGCCATGTGTGTTTCTTATCTTTATTATTTTTTGTTTTCCGCGCGTTTGCTTGCGTCTTAACATTTTCATGCTTCTATTGTTTTCAATTGTTTCCAAAATTTGGTTTCTCTTATACTCCCTTAGATCTTTTCTTATTTCTCTTTTAGTTGTTTTATTTAAGGTGTCATATTCTGGGGCATCTCTGTCAGTCTCTGCCAGTAGTAGTAAACTGCATTTTCTTTTTAGTAATTGTCATTGTCATTTGATTTGGGGTTATAATTTTATTGACGGACATCGATCAATGTCAAAATCAAAATTTGATTCTTGTTGTAAAACAAAACTCAATTTTTTTTTATTCCAAAAATGCCTTAAAGATTGAATCAAAATGAACAAAATGTTTTTTCTCGGTTATTTCATTAGCAATTAGATAAAAGTAGAAGAGAAACATGAAATGTCAGATTAATAAAGCTACTGTAACGAAAAACGTGGATATTTTGGTCACGTTCCTTTCAAAACAGACAAAAAGTAAGGAATTGAGTTAGACATTGTCCAGGCGAATGTATAACTTCATACGTTGATTTAACCAAATAGAGCATAAGGGAATATAAACCAAATATTTTTTTAATCTTTATTATTTTTGAGATCTTTTGAGGTAATTGTAGGACCAAAGATGATATAGGCCCGTGTCTTAATTTAATAATTTTACTGGTAAGTAAAGTGTACAGGGTATACAAATAACTAGATAACTAGGTCCCGGTAACTACGCTGTTAAATTATAAAGAGTGCATTGTGTGCGTTTATAAACTAGCTAGCAATCTTGCTATTTTTAGTAATCTTCCTTTTTGCTTGGTTATCATTTATTAATAAATAGTTATTGTACAACCTCACTAAAATAACTGGTTAATATTATAAAAATACTATAAAATCTTGATATTAACCAAGACGAATATACAGGGTGGTCAGAATTGTATTCGGTAAAGTATTCTGCAGAGAGAAATAAGTAAAAAAGTTCGTGTAAATGTATGTTCTACAATTTTTAGTTTCGGAGATACAAGGTGAATTAAAAGTTTCATTTTTATTTCGATTTTTCAAATTGGATCGATAAAACACTACCAAGAAGCAATTAAATGCCAGAATTAATACTTTTAAACCGTTTAGTTTAATGCTTTCATTAACAATCCAATTAGAGTGTGTTTTAATTGTTTCAAATTTTCCCGCTTTTGTATTTAATTTAATATCATGCTTATACAGGGTGGTCCGAACTGTATTCCGGAAACATATTTTGCAGATAAAAATGGAAAGGTTTTTGTGCCAAAAAAAGTTCAACAGAAACTGTTTTATCATGATCTTTTTCAAAGAAAAAATTATGATTAATTTTAAATAAATAAAAAGTTCCGAATTTATAATTTCAGTCAAATAACAATCAATATTACATGTTTATGTTTGTCAATAATGACAGTGTATTGATGATTTCCATTATAAATATCTTGAGAACGGTTGCTCGTAGCGATTTTTACCATGAGATATTTTTTACATTAAAAATGGCGGAAATATATATTTTTTCACTCAGCAGTTTTATACAGGTACAGACGAGAAGTTATTACTCTTCAAAACAGTAAAACACATGTATGTAGCGCCCCCTTCAAGTAGGAGTCATATTGACATAGAAATGAAATTTCTCACGTCAAAAAACACCAATTTTCATTCAAATATCGAGGTTAATTCAGAAATTATTTGGAAAAAATCGAAATAAAAATGAAACTTCTACACCCTGTATCTCTGAAACGGATCATTTTAGGACATATACATTTATACAAACTTTTTTACTTATTTTTATCTGCAGAATATACTGCCAAAGTTTCCCTAATACAATTCAGACCACCCTGTATAGTTTACAAACTAACCAGCTAGTTTGTAACCTAGTTGCTGCTAAATAACACCGTTTTTTTAGTTAGTTTGTAAAATATCTGGTTATTTTTAAAACATGCACACAAAAAAATCCATAATAGATATCATAATTTTCGAATAACAGAAGATACAATGAACGGAACATTTTTCACGCAATCTAATCTTCGCGGTCTGTAGAATTCGAAGAACGCCAACACTTGAACGGATTTACTTTGAAGAAAAGAACGGACGTATGGGGAAGAAAGCCTTTCACCCAGCTCCGAAGTCACGCCTATGACAGATGCGATAATATAAGGAGTCAATGTCTTTGACTGTCGTTAGTTTGGTGTTGTTAGTGAGTTGGTTTGGACCAGTTTAATTCAAAAGCAGAATGAAGAGATTCACTGTAAGTGCTTAGCGAAAAACGTGCGAAAAAGGATATATTCTTGGAGTTTTAGTTTATTTTGTGAAGGCTACATACTGGGGGTTAATGCATCGGCTCAGGACATACAGGGTGTCTCAGGCTGAGCGTGTATTAGGAGTTTCTAGAGAACTAAAATATCTATGACTCTACGTCAAGTTATGTAAAAAAAATTATTTGGTCATGTCATATATTGTGACACTTTATTAAAAATCAGTGTATCATCGATTGTTATTATTAATAATATCAACTATTAGATAACACTAAAGCGCAAAAATACGAGATATGTTTTTCTAAATACACTTTTTCGGCAATGCCCGAAAAAAATACACAAATCTAGTTTTGAGCAAGGAATATTTCCCAAATTCGAAAAACCAACTAACCAATGAATTAACACTTTCCAAATAACCACGCTAATCAACTCGCCAAATAACTAAACCAATCCAACCAAAAAGAGTGAAACCAATGCAATCAAATCACACTACAGGGTTGTTCACCACATACGACACGGAATATTGTAGCTAAACGAATAGATTTTTATAAATTGTAAGTTTTGGGTTCGTTGAAGGACTATTAGAGCTACAATTTAAAAATAGTTTTACAAGATACAGAGTGTACCAAATAAGTAAAAAATATTATAGTTGTATTTTTTTAAATGGAACACCCTGTATATTATTCAATTTTTGGATTCTACGATTGAAATAAAGGTAAATTTGATTAAGGTTTATCACACTTAAACCTTACCGTTTTTTAAGTATTTTCAATTTTATGAAATTGCAGTAAAAATTTTAAGGTTTCATTTCTCCAACGGTATCAAAGTTTTTAATACTAAATATTTACTGACGATTATTTATTGATCAGATATTGTGTTGCAATAATAAAAATTTTACTACCTTATACAGAGTGTCCAAAAATGTATATTAAATAATTACTAGCTTTAAACGGCAATAACTTGTTTAATTTAAATAGAACACCCTATATATTTTAGGTGAATCAGATGCACAATATAATTGTCTATTAAATTGTATTATACCAGTTTTACCCATCTCTTCAAGTTTTCGTAGAAAATGCATTTTCTTATAATTTAGACCTTATTTATCAATATACCCATGGAATATTGACATTTCAGATTTTTTTAAAGCAACATATATGTATAAAATGTATTGCAAGCCCATTGGTATACAAAAAAAACTATTTAAATCTTTGTGAAAGAGTATACCAATTAAATATACATATCCATTATTTCCGACCAAAAATTAGTTTTAGTTTAATAATTAATAAAGTATTCTAAATAAATGTGTGTGAATTTGGCTCAGAATCAATATAATAATAAGTTATGAAGATGAACGTTTCTGTTTTTATAAATAAGCATTCGTCAAAAAATGAAATAAAATGTATGAAGTGTTACTTTTTACCACACTGTCAAATACACACACAAAATTCAGTTTTTTAGCATTTGGAGCAAATATTATTAATCAACGTAAACAGTCAATTAATGTAGTTTGAATGCTGGGATCATATTAATTGGTCCTTGTTAACAAAAAATATTTAAATAGTTGTTTTTATTTTTTAATGAAATAAGCGAACTATATCGACAATATTAGTATCTGTACTCTTTGAAAAAATAATCTAAAATGTCAATATTTCATAGGTATAGTATATAGTATAGGTATAAATGAGGTCTAAATTATAAGAAAATGCATTTTCTACAAAAACTTGAAGAGATAGGTAAAAAATGGTTATAATACAATTTGATAGACAATTACATTGTGCATGTGATTCATGTAAAATATATAGGGTGTTTCATTTAAATTAAACTAGTTATTGCCGTTTAAAGCTAGTAATTATTTAATATAAATTTTTGAACTCTCTGTACAAGGTAGTAAACTTTTTATTATAGCAACACAATATCTGATCAATAAATAATCTTCAGTAAATATTTAGTATTAAAAACTTTGATACCCTTGGAGAAATAAAGCCTTAAAATTTTTAGTGCAATTTCATAAAGTTGAAAATATTTCAAAAACGGTAAGGTTTAAGTGTGATAAACCTTAGTCAAATTTACCTTTATTTCAATCGTAGAATCTAAAAATAGAATAATATACAGGGTGTTCCATTTAAAAAAATACAACTATAATATTTTTAACTTATCTGGGACACTCTGTATCTTGTAAAAATATTTTTAAATTGTAGCTCTAATAGTCCTTCAACGAACCCAGAACTTACAATTTGTAAAAATCTAATCGTTTAGCTACCATACTCCGTGTCGTATGTGGTGAACAACCCTGTATAAGCAAAAAAAATCGAATAAAATTAATTTTTCGGGTTTGGGAAATATTCCTTGCTCAAAACTAGATTTGCGTATTTTTCTCGGGCATTGCCCGAATTCCATTCTTCCATTATTGAGCGTAATATTTGTATTATAGGAAATTTAAATAATTAGTTTTCTGACAGATGGAAATAAATTTTCTGATTGTTTGACACTTAACATCAAAAGAATCTAGATAAAATCATGAAAAATATACGTTTCAAAACTAAATTTTAAATAACTTTAAAACGATTTATTTTAGGTAAAGGAACATGTATAATCAAAAAGCAAGGAGTTGGAAAACATTTTCACTAGTGAAATAAAAAAAGTGGGTTTCAATTTGAAAAAAATGATTTATGATAATTTTTAATCGGTCATTTCCATGACAGCTACGTCCAGTATTATATGACATTCAAACTATTTAAATTTTGAAATAGATATCCCTATATCTTCTGTTTATGTTACAGTGGCTGTGGCAAGCACTAAATTTGACGTTTAGATTATAAAAAAAATTTTGACAGCCAGTTTTTTTCGTCCAAAAATTTAAGTATTTTTTTCTCAAAGTCGGTTAATGTTAGATATAGTGTGTTTGATATCAAAATTCATAAAATTTTACAGAGAATTTAAGAATGTAGTACCCATTTAAAATAAGAAATTGTTGTCGACTTCCGTCATTCCGGAAGTGCCACCATAATGAAAATATTTTTAGTCGATAGATCTCGTTGTGAAACAAAGATGTGCAAAAACTCTTCAATCTAGATATTGCAGAAACTTATACTGCACGCTGGGTCTGTCTGGGACACCCTGTATATATATATATATATATATATATATATATATATATATATATACACACCCTGGGACACCCTGTATATATATATATATATATATATATATATATATATATATATATATATATATATATATATATATATATATATATATATATATATATATATATATATATATATATATATATATATATATTTTGTACCATTGCGATAAAAAGTAGTACAACAAAATATGATTTAATTTGCTGGTCTATAATAAAATATTTTCCTTCAAACTGACAACACAGTGTCATGAGAATTCTTGTGTCAGTTAAAAAATTTCGATATCCTTATAGACCAGGAGTTCTCTCTGGGACTACTAATTCTTGTACTATTTTTAGTAATAACTAAGTTTTTAGTAATAACTAAGTAATTGTACTAAGTCTTAGTAATAGGGTTCACATTTTTACCCTTTGGGTACGAAACCCTAAAAAGATCATTTTGGGATGTGGTCTTGTTACAATTTGTTTTTCTAAGATTGTGCACCCCCAAAATAATAAACCAAGTGCCGCTACTGATTGTAACACGTAGAAATACAAATATTCCCGACTCAAAAATAAAGATACCCGTCGAGTATACGTTACACAAATTTAATTTTCCAAATTTCCGTAATAAAAAGAGCGAAATTAAAAATAAAGCGGGCTTGGGTGAATGGGTGAATCCCCCGTTTTAAACTACATGAAATTTTACAATCCGCCATAACTTTTGCTGTTTGAAAAGTCTGTTGTCGTATGCCCTCTGCCAAATGATACTCATCCGTCTGGACGGTCTTGGAAATATAAAAATGGAGGGTAGAGCAAGAAATATAAGAAAATTACGTTTGTTGTTTACTCGTTCTATACTGGAGATAAAAGAAGATAATGTGTCCAAAATATAGTGTGTCCAAAAAAAAATAAAAAAGCAATATAATATTTCACATTTTTATGATTTTTTTTTCTAGAAGGTAGGAGGCATACAGGGTGAGCCTTAAATAAATGCAAATATTTTTAAGGGTAGTCCATATTATTTTTAAACATGTCCATGAAATTTTTTGTATTTCGAAAATTTGGAAATTTTTGAAAAATTTTTTGGATTTTTTTTAGTTTTAAGTTAAAAACATAATTTCTTGATAACATGGCAACATACAGTATGTCCCCGGATTGTCTTTACAAGAGGAATTTTTTTTATTATTGACATTTTGAGAAAAATGCATTCTTCATAAAAAAAAATTGCTTAATCTAAAATGGCTAAGTAACTTAAAAATCAAAACGCGTTTCTATGGTAATATAGCTTTGTTTTCATTCTTTGATAGATCATGGTACAAAGAATACAAGGTATGATCGATAGCGGCTCCAATTTCGTTCAGTTCGCGCATACCACCTGTGACGTCACTAGGAAAATAAGGAATAAATAAAAAATAAAGAAAGTTGACAGGAGATGCAGGAGATCTGCATTTTTGGGGTTATGGTTAAGAATTGTTTATTTTTAAAACTTTTTAGTTCGTTTAATTTAATAATTACTAAAACCAGCAGTTCCAACTATTAACATGGATTTGGACGATAATAGGTAAAAATACTAAATTTATTTCTATATTCAGTATAAAATTGTTTATTAGGTTTTTAGTTTGCGATGTTTATGGTAAATAATTTTCATTTTTATTGCCTCTGAATTCACATGAGGACAGAGATGAGGATATCTATGGAAAAGTAACCACAAGAGGAATTGTTACATCATTTAAAAAATGTTGGGAAGTTTATTGTTTCCCATCGAAAAGTAGAAAATGCCAATGCAGAGGGAACGTATTGTAATTGTGATAGAAGTAATTCCAAGGGTGAAGTTTATTATAATTAGTGGAAGTAATACCAAGG